TCCGAGACTGAGGCACACAGCTTGCGCCACGAGAATCGCATACTCAAAGAGACAACGGCTCGTCTGCAGGCCGAGAAGGAAGGTTACAATCGTGAGCACCAGAGCCAAGCGCTGCTACTCAACAACTTGGAATTCATCAAAGCAAATCTGGAGCGCTCTGAGACCGAGGGACGCTTGCGTCTCGAGCAGCGTCTCGATGATACAGTGCGTGAACTGTCCGCTCAGCGTCGTCATTTCCAAGAGGAGGAGGAGAAGTTCCGCGAAACGGTGAATGAATTCAAGCGGCAAGCGGAAACAGCCAACAAACTGAAAGAGGAAGAGCGTCTACAGGCTGAGAAGTGGCACCAAGAGCTCCTTGGAGTTCGCGAGGAGCTCGCTGCGAAGGTCAACCAAGTGAATGAGCTGAGCAAGAAGTTGCAGGAGAGCCTCACCCCATCCAAGGATGAGAATCCCATTACAGCGGCTAATAAAAAGGCACGTGAATTCGAGCTGCGTTACGAACAGGCCAGAATCGAAATTGAATCGCTCTCCAAGGAGCTAGCCAAGGCTCGCGAGCATGGCGATCAGTTCTACAAGATGTCCCAGTCCGCAGAGAGCGAAATCAAACGATTGCATGAAATGCACGCTGAGACCGTGGCCAAGTCTGATGCAGAAATCAAGAAATTGAAGAGCTCTGAGGCTGAGCTGCAGACACGAGTCACAGATCTGGAGGCTGAACTACTGCTCGCCAATGTAACTGAACAGAGCAAGTCCACCAATCAATCGGATCAGCTGAAGACCACCCAGGAGGAGCTCAAGACTGTGCTGGAGAAACTGACCGAATCGGGTCGCACCATTCGCAACCTGCGCACTGAGAACTCAACGCTGGCCGAATCCCTCAATTCCGTCGAGGTCAAGTATGCAAATGAGATGATGCTACACTCCGCTGATATTCAGGAGCTGACCAAATTCAAGGCGGACTTCTTGAAGGTATGTTAAAAGTCAAAGATCTGATATTGACTCTACTGAATAATAAATAATATTTGCTTCTAGATGCAAGACGAACTCAATCAACTGAAGTGCGGGCGTGAAGCTCTGCAAGCAGCCCATGATGAACTAAAAAAAGCAAACTCCGAGGCTCAGGGTCTGCTGCAAAAAGAGAAAGAAGAGTCAGAGAAACGTGTCGCTGACTTGAACGCGCTCAACTCCAGTCTGCACGATCAGATTGAGGCACTGACCACGAAGCTAGCGGCGCTCGCCAAGTCGGCGTCCAATCAAAATGCTCTCAACGATTCGCTGCTCGACAGCTCTTCCACCTTGGATTTAAATAGCTCGTCGGCTCTGGATGATGTTAAGAACAGCGAGCAGCTCCTGAAAATTATCAAATTCTTACGCAAGGAGAAGGATCTGTATGCGGCTAAACTAGATATTCTAAAAGCAGAGAATGCACGGCTCGTCTCGGAGCACACGATTCTGCAGAAGAAGGTGGACGAGTTGAATGGTTACCTCAAGCAGGAGCGCTCCAAGAGCGAAACCGATGTTGTCTCAGCTGCCAAGCATGAGGCGGTGCTACGCAAGATAGAAACCCTCAATGCCATCACCGATAGCAATCGCATTCTACGCGAGGAGCGCAATACGTTGACCAAGCGGGTGAGCGAGCTGACGGAGCGCATTAGCAGCTTGGAGAAAGAGCTGTTCCCGCTGCAGTGCAGCAACAAGGAGCTAACATCCAAGATTGAGGAACTGAATGTGGAGAACACCTCGCTGCGCACCGAGGCCATCAAGTGGCGTCAACGTGCCAATGCTCTGGTCGAGAAGAGCAACAGGAACCCGGAGGAATTTAAGCGCTTGCAAGGAGAACGTGAGCATCTGGCCAAGCTGCTGACTGCCGAAAAGGAAGCAAGCAAAAAACAGTCGGATGAACTGGCTGCCCTCAAGGCACGCTTGGACAACGAGCTGCCAGCGCTGAACAAGCTTTTGCAGCTGCAGGATGAGTCGCGTAAGAAGCAGATGGAGGAGGCCAATGCGCTCAAGCAGGCGAACACGCGACACGCTCAGGACATCATGGAGCTGAAGAATCGCCTGCTCCAGAAGGAGGAGGAGCTGTTAAAGGCGCAGGAAGAGCTCGAGTCCAAGGATAAGACCATACAGGACAAGGAAAGCAAGGAGCTAATGCTGCGCAAGCTGGCAAAGCGCTACAAGGACTACTATACGGGCCTGCAGGCACAGACTGGCGGCACCGATACCGTTGCCGAGCTGGAGAAGGTGCGTTCCGAGTTGGACGAACTGAACAATACCATGCGCAGCACCAAGGAGCAGCACGAACAGCTGCAGAAGGAGTACGATGATCTCAAGTCACGCTCCAACATGGATCAGGACGGCGGCGAGGCCAAGCAGAAGATCGAGCACCTACTGCAGGAGCTGACCGTAACCAAGACCGAGCTAGCCAACCAGGAGACAACGTTTGCAGGCACCAAGACCAGCTACGACGAGACTGTGCAACGTCTGGAGAAGGAGCTGCAGGAGCACATTGCCAGCAACAAGGACATCAATGCTCGTCTAACGCGCGAAAATGAATCCCTTCACATGAGAATCAATCAGCTGCAGCGCCAGCTCGGATCTCAGCAGTCCACTAAGCCATCAACCAGTTCTGTGGGCATGGTTGAGAAGGGCAACATCTCCGAATCCTCGCCACGCACAGCCAATGTGAAGCCCATGTCTGGCTCGGCTACCGTTCAGCAATCGGCCACGGTCACTCCATGGCGTGGAGGAGAGACGCCCCTGGCTAGCATTCGTCCAATTTCGGTGCAGAACAGTCGCACGGCTGCCATACTGCCCACCAGCCAGCAGCCAGGCGCCTCTACCTCTACTTCGACATCGACGTCCACGTCATCGGCTGCCGCTGCTTCGGGTAGCAGCAGCAGCAGCAGCAGCTCCTCCTCCGCTGTGGGCAACACGGCTTTAGTGCCGCCACAGCAGCAGGTGCATACCACAGGCAGTGCCACCTTGGAGTCGATGGCATCTTCGTCGCCCACATCATCGCACACAGATTACATGCCCTCGACCAGTTCGGCGGCTGTGGCCGTGGCGGCCATTCCGCCCATGGGCGCGACAGCTGCGGCGGAGAGCTCCCAAGAGGCGGAAAGTGTGCAGCATCCGCAACAGAATGATGGACAACTCTTTGCGGGCGGTACACAGCAGCAGGTGGTGGCACTCGTCTCACCGCGTGTAGAGGGCTCCTCGTCGTCATCTTCTAGCAGCACAACCACATCGACTTCCACACAGAATCCAACTGTTCCTAGCGTCCAGGAGGCGAGCATTCAACAACAGCCCAGTACCTCGGGTAGCAGCAGCAGCTCATCCACTGTGGTGAGCAGCCACAGTCGCCACACGCCATCCAGCAGCAATGTAACCACCACTCAGGCAGGATGCTCCAAGCGACCCCGTGATGTGGAGGGTGACTCCTCCACCAATGCTGAAGAGGGTGTGCCCGAAAAGATCGTAAAGCTGGCAAAGCGTCTGCGGGCGCCTATGCACGGCGGAGAGCTGTCTGCCGGGCATATTGGCGATTCTGGCATGGATGTGGATCAGATGCCCACATCGTCGCAGCGTGACCAGGAGGATGATATTCAGGTGGAAGACTCTGATGATGAGGAAGAAGATGTGTTGGGGCCCATTGATGGCGGGGATGCTGAGCAGGAAGAGGGCTACGAGGACTCCTACGAGCAGGACAACGAAATGGAAGACAATGCCGATGCACCTGATCAGCACAACGAAGTCGACATTGAACAGGTGCAGATGCAGGCTCAAGCCGAGGGACAGTTGCTCGAGGATTCGCCTGCCACCGTCTCCACACAAGAGAATAATCAAAGCCAGGCCATAACCAGCGGCAGCGGCGAATCGAATGCCCTTCAATTGCCGCAAGCGGAGGCCAACTGGAAACAGCAGGCGCCTTCCACATCCTCAGCAGCTGCACGTCGCACTGAGAGGTTAGCATCTCAATAGAACTCTAATGAAGATTGTGACTATAACTTTCGCCTTTCCCGATTTTAGCTCCGTTGAAATCGTCAGCTCCCCACAAGTATCCAACTTTAGCGAACAGACCACATGCGTAGAGGCGGAGGTCGATGGCACAGCTGTGGCAGAAGCCGCAGCAGCAGAAGACGAAAGCGCCGGCACGAGCGTTGATTGCACCGCCGCCCTCGCCAGCTCGCCGCAGAAGCCAAACGAGGCCGCCGAACAGAGCACCAGCAGTCAGGCTGCCGAGGCCAAAGACAAGTCAGATGAAAGTGAGACAGCCGGTGCAGAGAACGTGAGCGAAGCAGATGAAGCCTTTGCCGAAGAGACAGCTCCTGGTCAGGCAGAGGACTCCCAGCAACAAAGCAATGAGAGTAAGTAGAGTTGGGATTGTTGTGCAAAGAACGATAACTAACTGAGCTATAAATAACACACAGATCCAAATGTGGGAACCAGTCAGTCCGTAGAGACAGATAACCCGGATAACCAGGCCGAAGGACCCTCGGAAGAAAACGAGGGCGCCGATGGGGTCTCATCAGAGGGCGAAAAACAGGCTGTTGAAGTTGAGGTAATCATCTAAATAGCTTATTGTACACCAAGAAGAGTATCAATATCTACAAATGTATTTATTTTACCAGGAGGAAGGTCGCGAAGCTGAGGCCACGTCTCCATCGGAGAACACACGCTTCCGCACGCTGCGCAGCACAGTGCCCACACGACGCGGCGGTCGCTCTTTGATGCGTGGCGGCAATTCAAACAATAATAACAACAACAACAATGCCAACAGGCCGGCGCGCATTGTCTGGCAGCGTGATTCTCAGCCTGGCAACATGCGCGGAGGTCATCCAGGTAACCAAGACCCCAACATGCCCAGCGGATCACCCAACACAAATCGTATGTTCGCCAATCGTTCACGTGGCCGTCGGCCCATGCGTCGCCCCGGACCAAACAATTTCAATGCCGGCGGCGGCCCCGGCGGATACCCTTGAGAAGAGAGCGAAGAGTCTGGCACAGGCTGACTTTAATCCATACTGGTAGTTCATAAGGCTCTAGGCATTTAAATACACATATAAGACCAACTGAAAATACAAAATACAAATATTAAATGCTCAACATTGTATCAAAACAAACTATGAATTATGTCCCAAAATGAAAGAGGAAAGTGTAGCGCCGTCAGAGCCTGCCTTCTGGCTAAGCTATTCTTTGCTCTATGCAGCTAAGATACCCGGGCTAGATTCCACGTTCCTAGAAGTTAATCTTCATTTCCTTCCACTGTAAGCAGATATTTCATTAATCAATCTGCAAAGGAGTCGAATACAAAGATTTCAGTTTTGTTGTTTTTTTTTTGTTTTGTTTATTTAGATTTGTTAAACCCTAACTCTGGAAACTGATAGATGTATCATCATCTAAGATCTTGGGCGCTCCTTCTTTTCCTTGTAAAGTGCCAACAGGGAAACGTTGGCAACTTTGACGACCTTGAAACGGACACCGGGAATATCACCGACAGCGTGGCCCTTACGACCGAAACCGGCAACCAAAACCTCGTCGTTCTCCTCAATGTAGTTCAAGCTACCGTCACGGGGCACGAATGCGGTAATCTTCTTGCCGTTCTTGATCAGCTGAACCCTCACGCACTTGCGGATGGCAGAGTTGGGCTGTTTGGCTTCAACACCACTGCAAACAGAGAGAATGAAAATAGGTTTTAATTAGTTAGTAAAATAATATGATAGCTAGCAGATGATTTTAATTCAATTTGTTGTTGTTTCAGCCGATAACTCACAGTATAATCCTGTGATTTGATTTTTATAATAAACAAAACACAAAAATATACTGCGAGACATCGAATGTGTTCAAATAATTCAAATTAAAATCTTAACAAATTTAGAATAAATCTGTTACTTACACCTTCTCAAGGACAATGCCTTTGGCGTGGGATGCACCACCGAAGGGATTGGCCTTCCATCTGGTGCCCAAGTGAGCCTTCTTGTAGTCCTTGTCGGCCCAACGCTGGTCGCGACGGTGGTTCACATGCTTTCTGGCAGTGCGCAGACCTCTAGGCTTGCCTGTAAATAACAATCACATTATTGTTCGTTCATTTACTTATACACTCAAATGTATATGCATCTAATTGGTTTTAGGAACAACAAACACAATGTAAACAAATGGCAAATGGAGCGGCGGGTATTTGAGGTTAGTTTGAATACGTCGTTGTGTGTTGGAATAAATATGAAATCTTGTACAAATAACAATTATAATAATTCTATTACAAAGCACTTTGACTATTACACAATTTATTAACTTGATATGTTAGACGATTCTTTTAATATTAACGGATTTTTTGCAGACACAAAATTGTATCCCAAATTGCAAAATTGTAGCTCGAGAAGTTTTGAACAAGTTTAAACGCCGGCTCTTTTGTATTCACTTACATTTGCTGCTGCACAACTATTAAAATTTGTTTTGCACTTTGTTTAACAACGCAATATGCGTATTTATCACAAAAATCACTCTTTTTTAACCACTCACCCATATTTTTCCAACTATCTCAGGCAATGGCGGAAATAAAAGAAAGAGGAAGAGCTCAATTCCTCTTCTTCGCGGCAATGTTTGTAGAGCTGATTCGAATATATCGATATTTTGAAAATGGAACACAAGAGGTCCGATAGTTTTCGGCGCTGCCATTTGCCGCTAACAACTCTGTTGCAAAGTGCTACCCATAACAATATGCAATAACTTAACTGTTATTCGAACATTGTTTACCCTATAAATATATAATATACTTGCTTTGATAGCTAAATTTATTTTCTATTAAAATATGGTGTAAAATCGAGAAAAAAGATTTGTGCAATTTTTTAGAGCATAAAGTAGATCATATTATTGACTGATGCATACTCCTTAGCATCTGTTATGTAGCGCAGCAAAAATTCATAAACAAAAAGGTATTTCATATAGCCACACTCACTAAACAAACGGGCAGTTCCTAGACAAACATCAATTTCTCTTGTTATACGTTACGGATAAAATACAATTTTTTTTCGAGTGCACCCAAAATGAGTTCAATTCGCAAAAAATTGGTGATTGTGGGCGATGGAGCATGTGGCAAGACGTGCCTCTTGACTGTCTTTTGCAAAGATAGTTTCCCCTTGGATTATGTGCCAACCGTTTTCGAAACATATGTCGCAGATGTGGAAGTTGAAGGATCACAGGTTTGTTTAATTAGTTGATTCACTAAACAGCTACGCCATTGTTATCTAGAATGAGCAATGCTACAGGTATACGCACTTTTTTATTTATATTGTACTGATGCTTCATGTGTGTGCCTATACATATATAAATATAAAGAGAGTGTTATTTAGTACAGATCTTATTTTAGTTTTCGCAATATGCTGGGCCCCTATTCAATGTATGATTCACGTCGAGGTTATCGCAATTCTCTGCTGCTTTTCTGAGCAGCAATCCGAATTTGTGTTTCAAGTGCTCTTTCAATACGAAATTTATACATATATACATATATTTGGCTAAAATACATGTTTGCTGTACTTATATGTTTTTCTTTTCTCAAGGTGGAATTGGCTCTGTGGGATACTGCTGGTCAGGAGGATTATGATCGCTTGCGTCTTTTAAGCTATCCGGATACAGATGTTATTGTCATGTGCTTCTCCATTGATTTACCTGATTCGCTGGAGAATATTCAAGATAAATGGATACCCGAGGTGAAGCATTTTTGTCCAAATGTTCCCATTATTTTAGTGGGAAACAAACGAGATTTGCGCCATGATCCGGATACCATTAGGGCAAGTGTTATCAACTCCAAGTCTTAAGTATTTACTAAATCACATTTTTTTTATTTCGATTAGGAACTATCTTTACAAAAGCAACAACCCGTTCAAACGGAACAAGGTTTTACTATGGCTGAAATAGTGAATGCTTTTGCATATCTCGAATGCTCAGCCAAAATGCAGGAGGGCGTGCGGGAAGTTTTTGAAACAGCGACCAGAGCCTCTCTACAAGTGAAAAAGAGAAAAAAGAGATCGGGATGTTGGAGCTTATCGTGTAAGCTGCTCTAGTTGAATATGATTATCGATAAAAGTATCCTATCGAAAGTTACGTATCCATTTTCGACTCCATCCGTTAAAATTATATTATACAGACTTGTTGGTAATTTTCATCAAAAAGTATTTCCTGCCGCTTATAACAAATTAACGAATGATATGAAAAATGTTAAGAAAACAAACTAATAAAAGATATTTCTGATTTTATAACTTTTTTTATATTTATAGATAATGCAATGGAAAAGTACTTTAGAAAATTCAATTTGAAGTACACGTTAAAGAATATTTTTGGGCTGGATAATAAGTTGGTATTTCCCAAGTTATTTCCTATTCTTCAATAGAATAGCGGGAAATAAATTAATATCTTATCTAATATAATATTGGAATAATCAACTCCACCAATTTGCAATTCGATCTGAAAGGGTTTTGCCGTTTTTATCACCTGTAGCTTATCAATTAAAATTCAAGGCACCCGAAAAGCGTATTCAACCATCTGATAGACCTTCGTATTTAGCACTATCACGTGCCAAGCCCAATATTTTCTAATATACCCACTATAGAGTATGATAAGTTAAGCCTTATATGCAATATTATATCACGGAAATTTCGAGAAGTGACCAAAAGTCAAATTAAAACCAGGGTATGAAAAAAAAAAACTGTGCCATGCGATAAGCATAATTCAAAATAAGAGCTCTTATTTTAGAGTTTATTTTTGGTTTCACATTTAACAGTCGGTCGCATGTGCGCGCATTGAATTATTTGAAGTTCATAGAACGCTTAATGAATTCCAATACCGATTCCCATGATTTGCGCTTTTTTTTTTTTTAGATGTTTTGTCTTTTCTGTCCAATCATGCTAGTTCATATCTTGAACTATTTCATAATTTATGGCAATTATTTCAAGCCATTTAGCCAAAATTGAGTGTGTGTATGTGTGTGTTATGCCGGTAACCTGTTAACTGTCGAAATAAAACTGAAAAAAACGTGAATGGATCTCATTCAAAATAACTTGTTAGTGGAAAAAGCCACAGCACACACACTCAATATACCATAATTACTAATACAAATATAAACACAAGCGGGCAAACATGCCTGATATCCATACAAAACAGAAAGAAAAAACTTCCCTTCTTCTGAGATACAAAACTTAAAAAAAAAAAGATACAAATGAGAAAAATAGCATCGAAATTGAGAGAATTCTGAGAAGAAGCAACAGCAGCAAAAGAAACAACAATCAACACACTTGATTGTATTGGTATCGGTATCGGAATCGAAATCACATTGCGTATACGTATAATGTATGCGTTTGTGTGTGTGTGTTTGTTGCTGTTGTTGTTGTTTAGTTTTTTTGGCAGGCCATTTTGTCTGACAAGCGCTAAGACGAAAGCAAGGGCGATGGCAAGAGTGTCCACATGTTAGAGAGCTAGGCTGGGAGAGAGACAGAGAGAGAGAGCGAGCTTACACTCTCAGCAAAATTCGTCTCATCAAGTACCCTACGCACAGCCATCATATACCCACACAGTTGCAGTTACACTCAAACATGCGCACAGTCTTCTGCTTGGGCAGCACGCCATGTTTTTAGTTTCGCCGGTTGTTGTTGTTGTAACATTTTTATGTTGGCTAACGTTGAAGCTATTATTGGAGCTGCTGCTGCTGTTACTGCTGTTGTTGTTGTTGTGTCATTTTCATTCACGACGCCGTATGCACGTTAACGTAGAGCGTAATCAAAGAGTTGGGCTAGGTGGTCGGTTTAAGGCGGAGGGACGAGAGGCGACAAAGTTTCGTTCTCTGATAATGTGCGTTTGAAAGAACGCGCGAAGCACAACAACAAAATGCCGAAAGCAAACACAAACACAAGCACATGCAAACATCAAATAAAAACACATGCTTCGTGTGTGCGTGTGCACGTATTTGTGAGTCCGAGCGTGTGGGAAGGTGCCTTCGTATCGCGAAGCAGCCTGCTGCGTACTGTTTTTGCGTTGCTTGTGTGTTTGTATTGGTGCTGCTGCTGCTGTTGCTGCTGCTATTGCTGCTGCTGCTGCTATTGCTGCCGCTGCTGCTATTGCTCTTGTTGCTTTCTGCTTTGTGGTTTATACTGCCAACACATTTCCATTTCCCTTTAGTTATCTTTAGTCAGTCGCTCGGATCGGTCGGTAAGCGCGCGATCAATTACGTATTGGAAAGCGCCAAAGCGCCGCTGAGAATAGAATACCAAAACAACAGCTTAAAACACGAAATAAAATATAAAAACAAAATATAATAAAAACAACAACACAGAATAACTGAAATAAAACAAAATAGAACATCTATTTAAAACGAATCCCAACGAATTTATTTGAAACGCGTGCCGTTCGCATGCGGAGGCAGGTCGCACATTTCATATGCTACACATATGTACAAAGAGTAATATACCTATAGAAGCATACACATACACACATGTACTTGCAGAGAACGGTACACGGGGATCGTACGAACAGCTGCTAAACTGCTACAGATAATCAGATACAGATACATATACTAGAAGTATTTATAAGCGCGTTCGCTCTCCTCGTCTTGCGTTCGGCTCGGTTTCTAAATTGAGGCGTTTTTTACAGTTAACTTTCGCTTTTTTTTTGTGCTGTGCTGCGGTTCACGTTCGCTTTCTCGCATAAGAAATTCTTTGCACTGCCCACGACTAGGCGGCCAGAAATAGATCAAAAAATACAAAAACAAACAAGCAAATACGACCACAAGAACTAGAGGCGCGACCGGGTTCTAATTTGAACGAAAAAAACTCAAATACTCAACGAATTGAAAGCTGCAACAGACGCCACAACAGCCAGACATAACACAACAGCAACGACAACAACAACAACATCAAAAGGTAAGCGCAAGAGGGCTAACACACATACACTCAGACACACACACACACAGAAATGCGCGCGCGCGCAGTCAGCCAAGTATACAGCCAAGTTACAGATGAATGGCTAAAAAGACTTGGCCTTATGCCTGTGTCACATGACCGCGCCTCGCCGCACCGCCCCTGCCAGGGCCAGAAACGAGTTTTTTTTTTTTTTTTTTTTTGGCTAAGAGAAACAACCAACAACAACACACGTCGCGCCGTCTGGCAGCAACTTCAATTGAGACTCCGCACACACCGGCCGGGAACTTAGTCACAAATTGTTAATGTTCTAACTTTAAGTCCAAGCAAAGATGCAGAGCGACTCGACGCGACGCGACGCGACTTTAATATATGTATGTAGATATATATGTATGTACATATACATATGTAAGTAAGTTTAATGTCGTCGCCGTCTTCTTTGGCTTTGGCGTGAAGAGTCATCATGCCAATACCAGGAATCAGGAACCAGAAACACGTTAACACGTAAACGGCTTTCGTGTGCCTTTTATGGGCGTTTTTCGCTGACGTTGTTTCGTTTCGATGTTGCTTTTCAGTTTTTGCTTTCCTGAACTTGAAAAACAAGCGAGAAGAAAATCAGCTTAAGTCTAGATCGATATTTTTACAGCTACAGCTGCAGCAACAGCAACAGCTACAACTAGAAAGACGTGAGATAGTTATGCAAATGCGTTACCAAGAACTAATTGGCCAGAACCCCTTCTTACAAGTAATTCACGTTTATCTTAATGCCAAACACAATTATCATACAAATTACTCTGAAACTGAAAAAAAAAAACCTCAAAAATTGTTTTATAGTCGGTTTTTAGGCAAAAATAAATAGGCATAAAAATAAAGCAAATAAGAGTGCGCCAGTTGAGAGTGCTCGACTGGAAAATGCCCTGCAGTTTTTTTCCTTTTTCGATATTGCATAGATTGTGCAAGCTGTCCAATAAATGTAGTGCTCAATTAACAATATCAATATATCAAATTGGGCAGTTCTAGTGCCCCCAAAGTGATAAGGCCAACGACTAAAATTTGATATCGGCTTTAATCAATTTCCTGGAAATGGAATAAATTCTTGATAGGCTGATTTGCGTAAGCTGTAGACGAATTTATTAAGAGAACTTGAAATATGTGGCGTAGAGATATACATTCTTCTTCTTACTTTTGCCCCTTACATAATTTTGGTCAACATGCATATACTTTGCTCTCTCCTTGTCAGTATTTTCAGGGTATCAAAAAAAAGAGCGACACACCCTTTCTACCTATTTTTTTGCGAGTGCTATGCTTATCCAGACATGACTGTGCGCTGACTCACCCATAGAAATCCCACTAAAATAGCATAGGAAACAAAAAAAAGTCAAGAAAATAAAATAATATATACATATGTTGGCATTTGCTCAAGGCCTTTTGCTCTGTCTTTGATCTTTGGGAGCGACTTCTTGACTTTCCTTTCAAACCGGTTGCTTGGTAGAACGAAAAGAAAAAATCAAGTCAACTTTTAGTTGATACGTTATTGACATCTCGCGATTATATCATTTACATAATCAGTTAAAAGAAGAAGAAGAAGAAAATGCATATCACCTACACAAATTAAAGCAAAAGGTATTTAGTGGGAAACGTGTCATCGACACGAGGCAAGCGCGGGGGAATAGAATTCGTGAATGAATATATAACAGAGAGAAAGCAAACGGTACTCAAGAGATAACCAAACAAAAGATTATAAAAAATTTAATAAATTTAAAAGCAAGCACTCATCCAGATGTGCGGATGTAATAAATGTTATAATATAATATACTACTTGAAGATAAAGAACAAATATATGTAAGATTATGTGAAATTTAGTTGTAGTCGACTGAAAGGTGTCCTATCTTGCTGAATATGAGTTGTCCTTGATAGCTATATCAAGGAAATGTGTTTCTTCTAAGAAATGTATTCTTGAATATGAATATATATTAGAAAAATTCATATCTTTTAACTATGTCATGCAGATAGTATAGTATGTATGTATGCATATGAAAAGAATTACAAATTAAATACATGAAAGCTAAAATGACAGCTTAATAAACAAAACCATTATTCTACTTAATATATAATATGAAACCTTAGTTATCTCTTACCAAAACAAAGATTGTTAATTCAAATGGATATGACGTCAGTAGGATCTCAAGAAGCATTAGAACTGCCAATGACGTTGAAGCTGCCACTAAAACTGTTACAGATACAGATATAGATAGCAATTCTGAATCTGATTCATACGTTAACGTTCTCAATATACCAAGACACCCAATTACATACTAATTGTGGCATGTGTCTGGCAAATATTTCAA